GATGGATCTTATTCCAAGCATCCTTCCCGAAGTACAGGATCACAAATTGGAGCTGCAATTCATCATTGAGACTCTTGGCTCAACAAGGATTCATTTATCACCCACTGCAGAACTACTGGTGACCCGTGCACTATTTCTCCTCCACAACCCCCATAATCCAGATGATGAAGGTAAGTCTCATCATAATTCTAACCTAGATTTCTGGCTAACCTGTGTATAGCATACTTTTATATGGCAGCTGGCCATTATTATTACTATTACATAGGTGATCGATCTCAAGGGGAGGAATTTCTCAGAAAAGGACTTGCATTGGCAAGATCCTCAGGAAGCACCACCTGGCAGGCCACAATATTGGCTGGGATTACTAAAATCAAGTGGGACAGAGGAGACTATTCTGCTGCCCAGATAGATGCTCGTGAGGGACGGATGCTTTCTCAGTTGTCTGGAAACTTCCACATAGAAGCCAGTTTAGTGCGGATTGAGGCAATTTGTTGCATAGCCTGGGGACACTATAAACAGAGCATGGCTCTGCTTATCAGAGGGAAAGAGCTGCTGAATCACTGTGGCATGGGTGGAGGTGCCCTATATACTGATATCATCATTTCGGAGGCAGAAATTCACCTACTCAAGTCTGAATATACTGAGGCTCGAAGGATCAATACCCAAGCCATTGAGAACACCATGCGTGAAGGAAACATATATCTCACTGCCCTTGTCCTGCTTAATGTCGCCCAGCTTGATATGATCATCGGTGCATGCTCACATGATGTGCAGCAGAGTTTGGAGAGGGCAGGATTAATGCTTAAGAGCATCGGATATTCTAGTGAGATGGTTTACTGTGATGCAGTCTTAGCAGATCTCCATTTGAGGGACCACAATACTGTGGCTGCAAAGATTCTGTTTGAGCAATGCCTAAACTCATCTTGGGGAAGCAGGGTGGACATTGTGACCTACTGTCTGGAAAGACTGGCTGATACTAGTCAATGGAGAGTCAGTGATTTTGGCTGGGCATCTTGTTGGACAGTGGTATACTTGGGACATGCAAACAAAACTAAGGAGAAGTTGGCATTTTACAAGGCACTCCAATCTTTGGGAGATGTGTTTCTTTCTGATGGAGATATTAGGACAGCACAGAGTCTGTTCATTGTAGCACTAGACGGCTTCACTTTTATGGATGTCCATCGCAGCAGGGCCAACTGCATGTTACGGCTTGGAGATCTGGCACGACAAAGAGGGCAGTTCATGAAAGCAGTGGAACTATGGGAGAATGCTCGGCCACTTTTTGAAAGGTCGTCACAAATGAGTGATGTAGCTCAGGTTGATTCAAGGCTTGATGTTGTGCAGCAACACCATCAAAGTGTGCTTACTGATCTTATTGAACTCAATGCACCAAATGAATCCCTGGAGGCACTCTTAATTTGCGAAGATACAAACTGTCTCGAGGCTGAGGTATGAATTTGGGTCACCCCTGTGAAAGAATATGGAAATGGCTCAGGTCTCTGTTGTCTTCTTTAGCTTCCTACTTTGTACTTATCTATCATTGCTTCTGACAAATTGGTTTATCACTGGTCTTGTAGCCAGGTTCAGGATAGTATCTAGGTGGATGTTTCTAGTATCATTTATTATCTTTATTGTATCAGACTTTTGGTTGGAATCTTGGGTTCATGCACAATTTGTAAGGAATAATCAAGGGGTTTGAATATTGAACACAGCTTTCGTGGAAACAAGGTTAGAATCCAAGATATGAAATTCCCTGACGCCTGTAGTGCCAATAATTTGCCTCTGTATTTCTTATCTCTTAGGCTCTACCATATAAGGGCCTGATTGGGTGCCACACTTGGGGCCTGCTTACGCTCCTGCTCTGTTTCATCAAAAAGCCTGAAGTGTATTCCCACACCTTTATGTGTCCTGTCACAAATGTCACATAGAGTAAATAGACCCAAATACTCCTTCCTCTCTCTGTTTCTCGTGTCATCTGAACTGATGATAAGGCATGGATTCATACACACCTGAAATCTTCACTTTTGCATGGTGTTAGTGGGTAGCTAATACTAGTGAACAAGTGAGACAATGAGGGTTCTAGTCTGAGGACTAAGCTGTTAGAGGCACTGCAAACATGCATTAACCAGGTTTACTATCATGAATGCCTGCACAAATGAGGTCAGACATAGCGACTTGCGTTTCAAAACCACTAGCGAGCCATAGGACTACTCCGGCAGACTGTATTACTCAGTGCGGTGTGTTCGAGTTTAATATAGGTGCCAAGGCTATCAAGGGACTAATGAAGGGACGAAACAAGCTATTAAAAGGTCCTATTAAGGGGTTGGCTCAAGGGACACTATATCGGGATGAATAGATCGACAAGGCAGCAGACAAGTTAAATGATCATGTGATCACAAAAGAGACGTGTTTGGTCCTGGTGTGTTCACTGATGCTGACTGGACTACTATTCCAGATGACCAGGTAGGCTGACTATACTAGTCTGCCTATCATTTATAGGTGGTCAGCAGGTTCTGCCAACACTCAGGATAACCAGGGTTCAAGGAGGAATGACTGTACCATCATTAGTTGGTTGGAGCCTACAACCGTTTCCTGACTCAATGCAACAGTTTATATCACTCTGCAGTATTGATTAGCAGCCAATGGACTCATATTTTTTTCTTATATACCAGTATAAAGAGAGCATGTACTTTTAGTACTAAGTAAATAGTCAGTTAATTCTTACCCGCTTATTGGTACTAGCTCTCAGTAGCTCTAAGGTGTTCATCATACCGACTAGTGTTGGTTATACCCCCCTAGGCTTGCTCCTTGATCCTCCTCCTACCTTGCATATTCAGCGCGCCCCTGAGAAAGGCCCTGAGAAACCAGAGAAGATTGTTTTGGCTATGTACCATTCAATATCTTTACTTTGTTTAATTACACATAAGAGGCCTTCCAAGTTCCATGCACACCAGTTTCGAGGAAGTCTGTGCACCCATATCAGCTCTGCCAATATGCCAAGTTTGAACACTTGTAGGCCTAAAAATCCTACAAAAGAACACTGCATGCTCCAAAGACTTTGTCTTACTGTTATAAACCCAATAAAGAACTTTTGGTGTGTTGTCCCACTTGAAATTGAAGGTTGATGCATGACCTACTTCCCTGAACACAAATATGTTAGAGTAGAGGAGTTGTTGGTTGTGGGGTTTGGTGTTGTTCATGTTAAAAGTGGAAGGGGAGGTGGATGGATGAGAGTGCTAGTGGCACCTCGACGCAGACACAGACATGGACAGAACTCAGATGAAGGTGCAGAGCAAGCAACGATGGTTTGCATAACTACGATCAGTGCCGTAGCACACCGAGACAAACACCTAATTCTAACACTACCACCTGGTGAGACGTGCAAGGCAAGAAAGAATGAAGGTAAATAAAAGAACCAATAACTCCCACCGCTCCGACGAAAACTCCCACCTAAACAAATTGATTGAAAAGGTACAGTAAGAGGTCTTACAATTTCTATGTCTACAAAACTGTCTCTTCAGATTTGCGGAAAGAGAACATTGGTTTCTCGGTTTGAGCGAAATTTCGCCAAGATATTTGAAAAACTTTGGCAACTCCCGACTGTACTAAAACCCGTGATTATATTCCAGTCCCTATCGCCCACTGATGAAACGACTGTCTTTGATCTTTACACAATTTCGATAGGTACTGGTTCGAGTCTAAATGAATACCGTCTTTGTCGCATATCAACCAAGTCAGGGCACCCATCCGCTCCTTCCATGCGCTCCGCATAATCCTTCCTCCAAATCATTTTTCTCGTGCGCTCGGATGGAGCCGAACTGTGTATTCAATTCCAGGTTCGGAAAAGACCATATTGACGCATGCACATGGGGAATAACTAAGTGTACCTCGTTCTGATGGCCCGCACTCATATAAATTGAATGTTCATTGAGACGAACCATGTGGGGTTTTCTTGTTCGAATTGAGGCCAGGCCGTTCCCTGACCCTGAGCGATCACTGTTTTTGTAAGGGGTAAGCAAGAAAAGGAATTGCACTGAAACATCCTTTATCGGAAATTGGTTCGGTTCACAGGGGTGGGGTTCCGTCGTTCGAATCTGTGCGGATTGAAATCAAGCGTTTTTGGCAAGAACAGAAATGATAGCGGATCCTTCAGTGTCAAAACCGCTGTGTTGTTCTATCGAACAGATATTTGCTCCAAGGCGAGAAAATCCTTGCAGCATATATCTAAGAAAAATAGGTGCATTTCATAGGGTTCAATGCCTGGTAGCGGATGGTCTGCACTCACCTACAATGGTTGATTAGCAACATACCAGTGGGGGTCCCTTGTTCGAATCTAGGCCAGGCCGTATCGTAGATTTCTTGTGTTTGGCAAGGAAGCAATGGCAGCAAAATTAGATACCTTGTGAGAAAAGCAGGTTCAGTTTAGAGAGTTGAAGGCCTGGTGGTGGATGGTCCGCACCCACCTGCAATCGTCCGGTAGCAGAATGCCAGTGGGTTCCGTCGTTCGACTTGAGGCCAGGCCGTGTGCAGTGTGGTCAGCTGTTTTTTTTTTTTGCTCCACAGATAGAGAATGCTGGCAGACTGTTTCAATTTTTCTACGAAAAACAGGTGCGGTTTATGGGTGTTAAGGCCTGATGGCGGATGGCCCCTACCCACCTGCAATGGATCACGGCAACATGTCAGTGGGTTCACTCGTTCGACTCAGGGTCATGCCGTCGATGAATACGACCATGTTTTGCTCCTCGGAGAGAAAACCTGGCAGAGTGTCTCAATTTTTTACCGGGAAAAAGATGTTCGGTTCAGGGCAGTTAAGGCCTGGTGGCGGATGGTCTGTGCCCACTGATAATACACATTCTTGACAGGAAACATATCAGTGGGTTCACTCGTTCGACTCGGGGTCAAGCCGTGATCGGATAAATGTTTCTTGTTTTGGCGGATAAGAAAGAAAGACGTGAGAGCGAAATGCACCCAGAAAAAGAGGTGTATTTCATGGCTTTTGAGGCCTGGTGGCGGATGGTCCGCACTCACATAAATATTGCTCTGTGTTGACTTACATGTGAGGATCCCTCGTTCGAATCGAGGCCAGGCCGTGTTGCTGCGACAAGGAGGCATGTTTTGCTCCACGGAGTGAAAATCCTCGCCGAGTGTTTCATTTTTTCTAGGAATATTAGGTTCTATTTAGGGAGTTTAACACCTGGTGGAGGATGGTCCGATAATATACATTCTTGACAGAAAAAATACCAGTGGGTTCACTTGTTCGACTCGGGGCCAGGCTGTGAGCGATAGGAAGACATGTTTTGCTCCAACAAGTGAAAATCCTCGATGGGAGGGTGAAATTTTCTAAGAAAAGCAGGCTCGGTTCAGCGGTTGGAAGGGAAGGCCTGGTGGCGAATGGTCGGCACCCACATAATTATTGATCTTCATTGATTTGCAGCTGAGGATCCCTCGTTCAACTCGAGGTCAGGTCATGCAGATGGGATGGTCTTTTTTGTTATTATTTTATGGGTGAGAACTTTTTTCGTTCAAATCAACAGTCACGTGTCACAGGAGTACCTGTCGGCGACGAATTTTGGCTTTTGTCGCCCGTCACCGAGCCGGTTGTCGAATTGGGCCCGCGTCAAAGTTCCCAAAAGTGCTGAATTTGCGAAATTTTCGGGGGGTTTGTCGAAATTTTACGGTTGGTCACCGTATTTCGCGGGTGTGTCGAATGTCGAATTTGGTTCAAACGGTCACGCGTCTGTCGATTTGAGCGCAAAATAGTATTTCATCATTTTTTCGGGGGAGAAAGAAAGAGGCGAGAGCAAAACATGCACAGAAAAACAGGTGCAGTTTATAGGTGTTAAGGCCTGGTGGCGGGAGGACCGCACTCGCCTACAATAATTGATTGGCAGCATGCCAGTGGGGTTCCCTCGTTCGAATCGAGGCCAGGCCGTAAGGCTGATATGAGTATTTTTCTCCGGTGAAAAAGAAAGAAGTGATGGGTTGTAAGGCCTGGTGGTGGATGGTCCGCACTCACATAAACTGAATGTGGTTATAACCGGCATACACGTGGAAGTCCCTCGTTCGAATCGAGGTCAGGCCGTGGCAATAGACGAAGGCCTCTTTTGCTCCAACGAGAGAAAATCCTCGCCGAGTCTGTCAATTTTGCTAGGAAAAAGAGGTTCGATTCAGCACTTGTAACGCCTGGTGGCGGGAGGTCCGCGCCCACCGATAATATGCTGTGCAATGCAATTCGGAAGTGAGGTTCCCTCGTTCGACTCCAGGCCAGGCCGTGTTGCTAGAGGGTGTGTCATCTTTTTTCTCCGGTGAGAAAGAAAGAAATGAGAGCAAAGCACACCCAGAAAACGAGGGGTAGTTTATGGGTTTTGAGGCCTGATGGCGGATGGTCCGCACCCACCTGCAATACAATGCACAAGTGGGGTTTCCTCGTCCGACTCGAGGCTAGACCATGTCCGACAATTTGACTTTTTTTTCTTTCTGGTCGGCAGAAAGCAAGGGAATTGCACTGAACCATCCGTTGTCAGAAACAGAGGTGAAGTTTATAGGCAGAGAAAGCCTGGTGGCAGATCGTCCACACCCACCTGCAATGGTCCTTCAGCATACTGTATATTTACGTTCAATTCGACCAGGGGGTGACGCGTGACCCAAATTAACGATTCAACCATACCACCACGGCCGTAATTTGGCGTGACAGTACCAAAAATTTCGACCACCAGAACGAAAATCTTCAATTTGACGCGTCGCAGACATGATTTTGACCAGATTTCGAGGAGCCATGACGGAATTTACATTCGACCACCCGGCGGGTGACGCGTGACAAATTACCAAAATTCGCCATTGACCAAGGGAGGAGTGACACGTGATGGTCGAATTGAATGTAATAATACAGTAAAACATACCAGTGGAGTTCCCTCGTTTGAATCGGGGTCAGGCCGGATTGGATAAACATTTCTTGTTTTGGAGGATGAGAAAGAAAGACGTGAGAGCGAAATGCACCCAGAAAATCAGATTCACTTCATAGGTTTCGAGGCCTGGTGGCGGAAGGTCTGCACCCACCTGCAATCACAGCGAAAATTGACCGGTTTACGTGTGGCCGAAAATGAATCTGGAACCTATTGTTTCAGTAATCAGGTCACGTGAATGCCCATATAAGGCAATTCACGTGACCCGGCTGAAACAATAGGTTTCAGATTCATTTTCGGCCGCACGTAAACCGGGCAATTTCCGCTGTGAATGGTCTTTCAGTGTGTCACATACCAGTGGAGCTCCCTCGCTCGAATCGGGGCCAGGCCGTATCAAAGAAGATGACCCCTGTTTTGTTCCACGGAGAGAAAATTGTTGCAGAGTGTTTGAATTTTCGCTAGGAAACACAGGTTCGGTTCATAAGATTTAAAGCCTGGTGGTGGATGGTCCGCACTCACCTGCAATCGTCTGCTAGCAGCATCCCAGTGGGGCTTCCTCGTTCGAATCAGGGCCAGGCCGTTTGCAGGATGTAAGACTGTTTTTGCTCCAAGGTTAGAAAAACGTCGCAGTCTTTCATTTTTTTTCGAGGAAAAACAATTTCAGATTTATGGTGTTTAAGGCCTGGTGGCGGGAGGCCCACACTCACATAAATTAGATGATCATGCTTGACACATGTGAGGTTCCCTCGTTCACAGGGCCTGACTTGGACGGTCCATGGATGATCCATCATCCATTGATGGCATCCATTGGACAATGGATATCCATTCCCACGCCAGTTGCATGTCTGAATTGAGCCCATAATACCGAATCTTGGGCTCCAAATGTGATAACTATTGTCCATTACACCACCTGAGACTCTCTACCAAAGTAGATTGCCCAAACCGCTCGCCGTTCGCAAGAAATCAAAAATTGATCGTCCATCCACATCCATCCATGTGCCGTCCATCCACATCCATCCATGGATCGGCCCGTCCAAGTCAGGCCCTACTCGTTCAACTCGAGGCCAGGCCGTCGCATGTGGAATGTCCTGGATTTTTGGAAGCGGTAAGCAAGAAAAGGAATTGCAGCAAAGTTAAGCACCTTGTGAGAAAAGCAGGTGCAGTTCAAGAGTTTCAAGGCCTGGTGGCAGATGGTCCACGCCCACCGATAATGAGTGTCTTGGCAGGAAATATACCAGTGGGAGTCCCTCGTTCGAATCGGGGTCAGGCCGTATTGAAAGATGGCACCATCTTTTTCTCAGGTGAGAAAGAAAGAAGTGACAGGAAATTTACCTTGTGAGAAAAGGAGGTCGATTTCATAGGGTTTAAGGCCTGATGGCGGATGGTCTGCACCCACTGATAATATGCTGGTAGTACAATTCGGAAGTGGGAACCCCTCGTTCGAATCGGGGTCAGGCCGTGAAGATAGCGGCAGGCATGTTTTGCTTCACAGGGAGAAAATCCTCGCCGAGTCTCAATTTTCGCTGGTGGCGGATGGTCCGCACCCACCGATAATACAGGGTGTTAACAGGATACCAGTGGGTTCGCTCGTTCGACTCGAGGCCAGGCCGTATCGGAAGATGTATTTTTTGGGTGAGAAAGAAAGATGTGAGAGCAAAACACACCCAGAAAGATAGGTGCATTTCAGGGGTTTTGAGGCCTGGTGGCGGATGGTCCGCGCCCACTGATAATACGCAATTTTCACAGAAACATACCAGTGGGTTCGCTCGTTCGATTCGGGGCTAGGCCGTGTTCCGGGCCTTTGTGCTTTTTTGGAGCGGCAATAAAGAAAACACAGCAGCAGAGAAATTACTTTGCCAGAAAAACAGGTTCATAGGGTTTTAAGGCCTGGTGGCGGATGGTCCGCGCCCACCGATAATCTGTTAGTAGTACAATTCGGAAGTGGGAATCCCTCGTTCGAATCGGGGTCAGGCCGTGAAAGATAGAGGCAGGCATGTTTTGCTCCACGGGCGAGAAAACCCTCGCCGAATGTCTTAATGTTCTCTAGGAAAAACAGGCTCGGTGTATGGGTTTTAAGGCCTGGTGGCGGATGGTCCGCGCCCACCTACAATAAATATTCCATTGCATCAACGTGGGGTTCCCTCGTTCGAATCGGGGCAAGGCTGTGACCATATTCGAAGGCTTCTTTTGCTCCAACAAGTGAAAATCCTCGCAGAGTGTTTCAATTTTCCCTCGGAAGAACAGGTTCAGTTTACGGGTTTTGAGGCCTGGTGGCGGATGGTCCGCACCCACCTGCACTTGTGTGTCGGCATGAAACATACCAGTGGGGTTCCCTCGTTCGAATCGAGGCCAGGCCGTGATTTCTTGTGTGGCAATAGTACTTTTTTATTATTTTTATTCAAGTAGCAAGGGAGTGCATTGAGAAGAAAGTAGGTTCAGTTCGTGGTGTGTTTAAGGCCTGTTGGCGGCAGGTCCGCACTCACGTAACTTGGAATCGATGTCCGCCTGACATACATCTGAGGTTCCCTCGTTCGAATCGGGGCCAGGCTGTATTTACGCACGAAAGAGCATTTTTCTTGGGGGAGAAAAGAGAAGTGAGAGCGAAATGCACCCAGAAAAGCAGGTGCAGTTTATGGGTTTTGAGGCCTGGTGGCGGATGGTCCGCGCCCATTGATAATACAGGGTGTTTATAATTACAATATTCACAGAAGCATACCTGTGGGTTCGCTCGTTCGACTCGGGGCCAGGCCGTATCGAAGGATTGAGTTTTTGGGTGAGAAAGAAAGACGTGAGAGCGAAATGCACCCAGAAAGATAGGTGCATTTCATAGGTGTTACGGCCTGGTCCGCGCCCAACTATAGATCACTAGAGTATAGCAGTAGGATTCCCTCGTTCGACTCGAGGCCAGGTCGTCGCACGTGAAATGTCCTGCATTTTTGGAAGGGGTAAGCAAGAAAAGGAATTGCAGTGAAACATCCTTTGTCAGAAAAACAGGTTCGATGTTGGTTCGGTGCACGGGTTTTTAAGGCCTGGTGGCGGATGGCCCGCGCCCACATATAATAAACCGATAGACACGTCTCAGTGGGTTCTCTCGTTCGAATCGAGGCCAGGCCGTGATCGGATAAACATTTTTTGTTTTGGCGGATGAGAAGTAATGAAGTGAGAGTGCAGGTTTGGTTCTGGGCTTTTAAGGCCTGGTGGCGGATGGTCCGCGCCCACCGATAATATACACGCCTGACCATACCAGTGGGTTTACTCGTTCGACTCGGGGCCAGGCCGTATCGGAGGATGGTTTTTTTGGGTGCGAAAAAAAAGAAGTGGGAGCGAAATCTATATAAGAAAAGATGTGGTTTGTCTAGACAAAAGTGGCGCCTGTGGGAAGGGACAATGACATCTACTCCACAGTTCCACAGATAATTGTAGAGATGTTGAATTTTACGTGATCGCTCCACTCCACTGTTAGATTCCTATTTATAAAATGTTGAAATGTTGAAAGCATGCTACGTCAACCTCCAACTATGAGTACACCTTGCTAGGTATGGTGGAAGAATGAATTGAATATTCAACTATCATCTGCCACCAATGCTGACAATGAGGGCGCATTTTTATTACAAATGCAGGCATTGATGTCTCGCCTCACAGAAGGCGATGGTTTCCAGACAAATGAATTTCTTGGTTGAATTGTGGCCATAGGCATTTATGATGAGGATCTTCGCTCAGAGGAAAGGCAAAAAAAAATCAGCTCAGAAAATAAATTTGAGCACAAACAAAATCCGCCCACATTTGCACCAGGGTTGATACCTACGGCACAATAAAAAAATTAGAATAGAGCTTATTAACAACTTGCGAAAAGTGATTTTCGTCAAAAATTTGAGGCCCCACTTGGTCGAAATGGGCTCCACAAAACGCGTCATCACCGGGTAAAAGGGCGGGAAGCCGAAATCTCAGTTAGCTCCACAATCGAAACAAGGCAAAACTTAATACAGAAAAGTTGACTTTTCGCAAGTTGCTAATAAGCTCTAATGTTATATGGGCTATTCGGGCAAGTGGATTACATTTAATGGAGAAATTCAGGTGGTCAACGGCGTTGTCTGGAAAAATTAAACTGTCCATGAGCCGCGAGGAGTCGACCAAAGGTCGGCGACGAGCAGTGTCTTCGAGGAACGAGTTTACTGGAATTAAATATGAGTTCACACCTCGGGTAACTGCTATCTATATTACAATCGAACCTCGAGTCAAACTTGATCCGAGTCAACCCGAGCTCCGAGAGCTGCCACATGATGTCACTTACTCTGAAAACAGATGTTGAAAACTTGGTTCTTGAAGCGCTATTACCTCCAAAAGATCATATTAACACATTTCGAGTTCTCTGGCAGTCCAACCAATTGTAAATAACTTCTAACCATTGAGATGAAGGGAGGGGATAAAACTTCCAAAAAGAGCTGGGGAACTGAGGTAAGGACAAGTCAAGTTGAACCAGCACAGTCTTTTCTAACTGGATTGTTCTATGGGTGGCAGCATAGCATGGAAAAATGACAGAGGTAGATCAAGGTATGATGAGATAACAGGCAATACTGGATTCATTAAAAAAACACCTATTGGGTTAAAAGAGTATCAGAATAATTGTCACGGGCCACCAGGCCGCGATGAGTCGACCAGTCATTTTCAGGCAGCGAAATTGAAAATGTTATCGGATTTTACTATTCTCACCGTAGCGAGGCACGGGTAACTGCTAGTGCAGCCATAAATAAGGTGCAGTTCATAAGCAGAGAAAGCCTGGTGGTGGGTGGTCCGTGCCCACATGCAATCGTCCGCTAGCAGCATCCCAGTGGGGTTCCCTCGTTCGAATCGGGGCCAGGCTGTATTGACGCTCGAAAAAGCATTTTTCTCGGGGGAGAAAAGAGAAGTGAGAGCAAACCACACCCAGAAAAACAGGTGCAGTTTATGGGTTTTGAGGCCTGGTGGCGGATGGTCCGCACCCACCGATAATACACAGTGTTCACAATATACCAGTGGGTTCCCTCGTTCGACTCGGGGCCAGGCCGTATCGGAAGATGGAGTTTTTGGGTGAGAAAGAAAGACGTGAGAGCGAAATGCACCCAGAAAAAGAGGCGCATTTCATAGGTGTCAGGGCTTGGTGGCGGATGGTCCGCGCCCACATATAATGGAAAGCCGACAGCGTACCAATGGGACTCCCTCGTTCGACTCGAGGCCAGGCCGTGCTCTAAATCGTCCCATGTTTTTGAAAGGAGCACAATGACGGGGAAACTTACCTTGTGAAAAGAGCAGGTTCAGTTCATAGGATTTAAGGCCTGGTGGCGGAGGGTCCGCGCCCACCGATAATATACTGGCGGTAAAATTGGGAAGTGGGAACCCTCATTCGAATCGGGGCCAGGCCGTTCGAGGACCTCCGCATTTTCTTTTCTTTAATGTATGCAGAATTGCTCTTGCCAGTTGGGACCTGTTGGGACTTGGTTGGGACGAAGGCGGCGCCCGATGACGCGAGGATTTGCGCGTCATGATGCATGATGCGCCGTCGCTTAAAGTTGCCCGCTCGATAAGAAGCCGCCCGGGGCCGGCATTTAATTTATAGTGCGGCGAGTTCGGGCAACACATGGAACCCGCGGAGGCCGGGCGCGGGCGCGGTGTTACCTGGCATTGGGCGGGGTTATCCAGGGTTATGCTCCGCTATGGGCGCGGGAGGTGAAACGGGCAGTGAATGGGAGTCGGATATCGGCAGAGTCGCGGGTAAGATGTGGTTCCGGTGTTACGTACTGCATGTGTGCGGAATTTGGGCGGAGTTTTTCAAGTCCTGAGCCTCCCTGCTGGGTGGGTATGAGAGAAGTAACATTAGAATAGACACATATGTGAGAAAAGGAAGGCTTAAAGACCCTACATTCGAAGGGATTTCCCCTCATTCCCCTGCCCCTTATCTCTTCCCTGGTCCGTGCGCATCACAAAAGGGCGTGTGATCAGATCTGAGGTGGCCGCTCTTTTTACTGAGCTTCTACGTGTCTTGTAGCCATTTTTCGTTGGTTGTTGTTCTCTTCCCCTTCCCTTTTGTGCGTGTCTTTTTTTGCACCCCACACTCGTTTCAAGGCGCCCAACAACACACTCGCTACTTTTCGACGTTTTCTAACGTTTTCTTGCTCCCCCCCTTTACTCCTTCGTACGCTACCTTTTCATCCCATCCGATGGACGAATCCCAGGCAGCCTTTGCGCAGCCGTACCCCCCGTATTCGTTTGATCTCGATATGATGAAGGTCCGCCCATTTTCCGTTGCTAGGCGATAATACCCCTCACAATTCTCCTCTTACCACCACAGCGCTCGATGGACGCAGCCGGGGGCCCAGACTCGAAAAAGGCACGGTGGTCGCCCACCTCGTCGCTCCCCGCCCCGCCCGCGCCCGGCCCCGCCCCGACGGGCTCGCCCCGCGACGTCTACGCAAACTACGGCTACGGCGCCCAGGCCCAGGCCGCGTTCCAGCAGCAGCCGCCCGCCCAGCAGGGGTTCGCCGGCAGCCCGCTCTACTCCACCCCGCAGCTGTCCATCAACACCCAGACGAACGGCGGCCAGCTGAGCCCCAACACCCTCGCGTCGTTCCAGCAGCAGCAGCAGCAGCAACAGCAGCAGCAACAGCAGGCGCAGCAGCAGGCGCAGAGCCCCGTCGCGGGCTCGCCGTACACGCAGTTTAACCCCTACAACATGCTCGCGATGGGCTCGTTCCCGTACCCGCAGCAGAACTTCCAGGTGCGCCGCCCCTTTGCAGCGATGGGCGTATTCTAACATCTTTTAGGGCGGGCAATTCTCGCCGCAGCGCCTCCCGTCGCTCAACATTCCCGCCGCGCAGGCCGTCTACGCCGCGTCCCCGCTCTCGGGCCTCCTCTCCGCCGGCGGCGCCCCCACCGCGGGCCGCACCGTCTACATCGGCAACCTCCCCCCGTCCGCGTCCGTCGACGAGCTGCTCAACCTCGTGCACTTCGGCCCCCTCGAGTCCATCCGCGTCCTCCCCGAAAAGTCCTGCGTCTTCCTCTCCTTCCTCGACGCGGCGACGGCCTCGGCGTTCTTCGCGGACGCTGCGCTGCGCAAGCTCACGCTGCACGCGCAGGAGCTCAAGGTCGGCTGGGGGAAGCCGAGCCCCGTGCCCGCGCAGGTGCTGCAGGCGATCGCGCAGAGCGGCGCGAGCCGCAACGTGTATCTCGGCGGGCTCGAGGAGGGCCTGACGGAGGAGGCGCTGCGCGACGAGCTGAGCCGCTTCGGGCTCATCGACCAGGTCAAGATCGTGCGCGACAAGAACATCGGCTTCGTGCACTTTTTGAGCATCAGCGTCGCGACCAAGGTGCCTTGCCTTCCTTTCCCTCTTTCCCTTCCCTCTTCTTCCCCCCGTTTTTTGTACTGCATACTAACGCCCCCGCAGGTCGTGAACACGCTCCCCACGGACCCCGCCTGGGCCGGCAAGCGCGTCAACTACGGCAAGGACCGCTGCGCGTACGTCCCCAAGTCGCAGCAGGCCGCCGCGCACCAGGCCCAGGCCGCCGCCGCGCAGTCCCTCATGCAGTCCTTCGCCTCGCCCGCGTCCGCGCACCCCGCGCACGCCGCCGGCAACCCCTTCTCCGCGTTCGCGCACTCGCCCGCGTCCGCGCACCCGAACAACGGCGGGAACCCGATCCTGAGCGGCGCGGCGCTCGCGCAGGTGCAGGCGCAGCAGCAGCAGCAGCAGCAGCAGCAGCAGCAGCAGGGGCAGGCGCAGAACGGGAATGCGGGGCAGAATGGGCAGGGGCAGGGCGGGAGCCCGAGCAGCTACGCGCCGTACACGCCCGCGCCCTTCAGCCCGGACGCGCTCAGCGCGATGATGGGCATGGGGATGTTTGGTGGCATGGGCGGCATGAATGGGATGGGCGGCATGGGCGGGATGGGCGGCGGGATGGGCGGGATGAGCCCGATGAGCCCGATGGGCGGGATGGGCGGGATGGGCGGGATGGGGATGGGGATGTTGGGCGGGATGGGTGAGTTTTTTTAATGCCTTTTTTTGGTTTTGAGCGGTGGCCTTCGTCCCCTTCTCCGCTTCCGCTTGTTCCTCGTCATTCCTTCTTGCCTTTCTGCCCTCCTTCTCCGTCCTCCGTGTTCTCTTCCTATTCCTCTCCTCCCTCCCTCCCCGTTCATTCATCCGCCGCGAATCCCCCCTACCGCCCCTCGTCCCGTCCTCTCCTTCCCCTCACCTTCCTCCGCTTTCGTGCCACCGTCCGTCGTTCCGACGTTCACCGACGATCCTTTTTGTCATGACATTGCCTTCCACCGTCCTCCTTCCTCACTCGTCCACTCGTCCACTCATCCACTCCCACCCACGCCCCTGCCTTCGTACTTCGTCCCATCCTCCTCGACCATTTGTCATCCTGTCCCACCTTCCTTTCTCGCCCGCCGCTTGTCCGCCCGCCTTTTCCTCCATCCCTCCTCATCCTGCTTCATCCCGCTCTTCGCTCTCGTGCTCTCGTTCCATTCCGCTCCGCTGACGTCCTCGCGTTCCCACAACTCCTCTTCTCTTCTCGTCCTTTCCTCCTCCCTCCCCTTGTCCTCTCCCTCCGTCTGTTCCACCCTCCCCGTCTTCCCCCGTCTTCCCACCACCCTTCCCCGTCCCTCTGCCGCCCACCCGTCCTGTCCCGCTCCGACGCTCATCCCTCCTTCCATTCCCTCGCCTGTCCGCCCGCCTTCTCCATCCCCTTTCGTCCTGCTCCCCCGCCCCCTCGTCTGTCGTCGACGGCGTCCCCGTCCCCGTCTTCGTCTTCGTCTTCTCCATCCCCTTCCCTCCTCTCCATCTTCTCCGTCTTCTCCACCCCCTTCTCCCCACCCCCCATCCTTCCTGCCGTCCTTCCCTCATCCCTGTCCATCCCGTCCCCGCTCCGCTTCCCCGTCCCGTCCTCTTGCTTTTCCCCCATCCTTAAATACCCCGCTAACCCGCTTCCTCCCCCCAGGGCTCGGCATGGCGGGCGGCAACCGCACCGTCTACCTCGGCAACATCCACCCCGAGACGAGCACCGAGGACCTGTGCAACGCGATCCGCGGCGGCGTGCTGCAGAGCGTGCGCTACATGGCGGATAAGCATATTGCTGTGCGTCGCGCTTCTTTTTTTTCTTCCTTTTTTCCGTTTTTTTTCGGTTTTTTTTCTTTTTTTGCTCTTTTTTTCTTGCGTTTTTTGGGGGGGCTGGGGGCTGGCGCTTTTGGCGTCCGAGACGCGCGCGCGCGTCTGCCTGCCGTCGTACTTCGTCTTCGATTTTGCTTGATCTTACTTCCACTCTTCTCCATCACCCATCTTCGTCTTGCGATCTTCCCTCTTCTTCACCCCCGTCCGTCGGTCTTGCCTATCTCATCCCCTTTGCGTATCTCGCTTACTGCTCTACCTGCTCGTCGTCTATTACCGCCGTCCTCGACTTCCCCACTTATCCTTCGTACTTGCATTTGCACTTCCGCACTGCCATCATACGTACACTCCACACCCTCTTCTTCATCACCCATATCCCGAGCATCGCTACCCTCACCCCTCGCTCGCTCGTCCGTCTTCCGTCGCCACCCTTCTTCCGTTCTTTATTCCTATCTGACCTTCCCCTTACTTTCCTTCATATTCGTCACTCGTCGACGTCCCGTCCTCCTCCTACCTTTCTTAATACTCTCACTTTGTCATCCCGCTGCTGCCTTCCTTCCCGCTCCTACCTTTGTCATGCCGCTGCGGCTACTCGTCGCTGTCGTCCCCGACAAGGAGACCTTTGACTTCCTCTTTACCTTCCCCCGTCGTCCTTCCCATGCTAACACCTCCCCAGTTCATCACCTTCATCGACCCCGCGGCGGCCTTCACCTTCTTCCAGGTGTCGTCCTACCAGGGTCTCACGCTTAACAACCGCCGCCTCAAGGTCGGCTGGGGAAAGAACTCGGGCCCGCTGGCGCCGACGCTCGCGCTCGCCGTCCACGCGGGTGCGACGCGCAACGTGTACATCGGGAACGTGGAGGACTTTGAGGTCTTCAGCGAGGAGCGCCTCAAGGCGGACTTTGGCG